CAAAAGAAGGCCATTGATGGGTAAAAAACAGGACATGAGCCAGCAATGTTCACTTGCAGCCCAGAAAGCCAGTTGTGTACTGGGCTGCATGAAATGAAGCATGGCCAGCAGGTCAAGGGACATTCTTCCCCTTTAATGCTCTCCTGTGAGACCCCACCTGGAGTACTATATCCATCTCTGGGGCCCTCTAGACCTGTTGAAGCAGGTCCAGACAAGGGCTACAAAGATGAGCAGAGGGCTGAAGCACCTCTCCTATTAAGAGAGACTGAGAGAGCTGGGTTGTTCAGCCTGGAGATGAGAAGCCTCCAGGGAGACCTCATTGTATCCTTCCAGTCCTTAAAGTGGGTTTATAAGAAAAAGGGCAGAAGGACTTTTATGCAGGCAGGTAGTGACAGAACAAGGTGGAACAGTTTTAAACTAAAAGAGGAGAGATTTATATTAGATGTTAGGAAGAAATTCTTTACCATGAGGGTGGTGAGGCACTGGAACAGGTTGCCCAGAGGAGTTATGGATGCCCCACCTCCAGAATTGTTCAAGGCCAGGTGTGATGGGGCTTTGAGCAACCGGACCTAGTTGAAGATGTCCCTGCCCAAGGCAGGGGGTTTGGATTTGATAATCTTTAAGGGTTCCTTCCAGCACAAAACTTCCTGTGATTCTATGAAAGGAATCATCCTTCCTGTACCTAGGAAGAAACAAGCAAAGCAATTGACATAGAAAGTGACATACAAACAGTATGAGACCTACCTACAGGGAAGTGGGGCCGGGTTGTGGGTTACATGGGGCAGTTCTGGGGATGCACCTCCTCTTCAGACTCTCACATTTGGGTGGGGGTCCCTATCCTATTGCACTCCCAAATTTCTCCGTAGTCTTCCTGCTCCACAAGTACAGCCCCACTGCTCCCCTACAGAGGGTTGAGACAAACAGCAGTGCTGTTCATCCCAGCCCCTCCCTTTCTCCTGCCCAGAGCATGTCCAGGATCTCTTCAAGTGCTGCCATCACCATTTGTATGTGGCTTGTTAAGCCTTGGGGTAGATTCATAGCACTCCTGCAGAAATGGTGGGCAAAATCATGTGGAGAATGCAGTTCTGGCCAAAATTTCATTCTCACAGGGCTTCTATTTAAGGTTGAGGAGGAACATGTGGAGGATCTTTGAAAGCAGTCAGTCAACCCATTGCTTGTTTGCCAGCCAGCCACTGAGCCCTTGGAAACAGGGCTTCCTGAATTGGTGCCAAAGCAGGACCCTGGGTTTTTAACAAGCGGGTTGTGTCTCTGGTGGTGCAGAGGGCATGCAGGCTCCCAAGGGTCTGCCAGCCTCGCTCACTGCTGCTGCCAGAGCCTGTGAGCTCTGCACTGGCCCACAGCACACCCTGCATCCGCCTACCGCAGCAGCTCGGTGCTTTTGTTGAGCTGATTTAAGTTCATGTCCTGTCACAAGCAGCTGGTTACATTTGCACCTCTTGTCCTGCAAGGGCCTAAAATACTGTTGATTACTCAGTGCCTTTTGCCTGACCCAGGAAGAAGGTGCTTTACATAGAAATCTTATTAATGATGCAGGTGCAGGGCTCAGTAAAGTGGAAGCACTTCAGATTTCATCTGAATAATTAAATTCCATCAATAGGATTTTGCAGGACTACTATTTAAAATTAATAACTGCAAATGCAATTCTGACATATAAAGGAACCCACTGAAATGGGATTTTTTTTTTTTTTTTTATATAAAATGCTTTATAGATTTCCTGGCAATCTTACAGCCACCTGGCTATAAGTCCCAGCTGATCCTGAGCAGCAAGAAAGGGGTTTGGTGTGGTTTCTGAATATTTTTAACCTCTAAAAATTAGGAAATGGCTCCAAAACCAGCATCCGGCATGCTGATGCTCATGTTTAATGGACCTCTAGTAAGCTGATGAGTAAACTGAGAGAAAATGAGGAAGTCATGTTTGGAAAAATATATCTCCTCTGCCTAAGAAGATGGGAAGATAAAGAATCATCTAGGTCTGTACCAAAAGCCACATTTTATGAGAAACAAAATCTTCCTTTTCCCCAGAAACTACCTATCTCATTCCCTATTGGCAGCTTTGACTGTGGTGAATGTGTTGAAAAAGCCAAGAGAAACCATCCCTGGCTGGCACCATCACGGATTTGCACACTCATGCATAATGAGATAAAGTGTAAGGTTCACAGGAAAGCAGCAGAGCTTTCCTCTTTGGACAACCTTCAAGCAGCCCTGGGGATGTCTTTGTGCCAGCATGCTGTTCATCACGTTTCTTCTGCCTTAGCTTCATTCATCACCTACAGGAGCTTATCAAAGTTTGAATAGTGCTACATGACTTCTCCTTCTCAATGGGGAGGAATTCAGCTCCTGCTGCTTTGCATATTTTGATAGGAAGGTTGACAGTCAAAGCTTTCCCTGCTTAGTGAAAAAAACTTACTCTGTCTGTCCTTGCATGCTGCCAGAAAGATACGTTTAATACAGGCTATGACCTCTAATAGCAGGCAGATGGAGATAAGCACTTCTCTCCCTGGTGTTTTTCAGCTGGCTGAGCCAAGCAGCTGCTTGGACCATCCCCAGTGGAGGAGCTCCTCCAGTTTTCCCATGGGAAACAAGAGGATCATGCAGTGGCAGCCTTTTGAGTTCACTTGCTGCGGGTCATATAGCAACTGGAAGCCTGCCCTGGCCTCAGAGAGGATCTGCAGTGCCCACAGGAATCATGGGGTGGGTGGCCCTCAATAATGATGCTGCTTTTGCTGTCTTTACCTTGGAAAGAAGAAAATTTGCTGCAAATTTGAAGCCAGGGTAAATTTTCCTTGCAGAGATTTTTTGTTTCTAGAAACACCATCTTGATTTAAAAATGTAATTTTGATAGCAACAGGTTGGGTGATTTTGCATGTAGCGGGCTGGAAATGAAACCATCAACCTGGTTTTATTTCTACAAGAGTTATTGGGCAAGAGGGTGGGAGATGGGAATGACTCTTTCCCCAGTAGGAATTGAATGTGCCACTTTAGAAATGAGGAAGGAGAGTGTTCCTTTTGGAGCACAGAGAAGGGCTACTTCCCACGTGACCTTCAGAAAAGGAAAGACACAAAAACTAGGTTAGCCCAAATAAAAGATGTATTGACCCACTGCAGAGATGCTCTGAAAATAAATGAGTATAATCTTGGAAACTACTTCTAGATGGGTACAATTTAGCAAGAGGCCATGAAGTATTTCTGTTTCCCAGGGCCAGGATCTGGAAGAAGTTTATCCCCAGGTTTAGGACCTCTCAGCAGAGTCTCATGGATCATGAGTATCCCTGCATACCTGTTCTCCAGACAGTGGCCCCAGACCCAAAACATGAGCTCAGGACTGCCTCTGCTGGCTTTGGGCAGCTCCTGAATTCTACTTGGAAACAGGTTTTACCTTCATACAGCCACACTTTCTCTCAGCACGGACTTTCCTCCCTGTCCTTTGTGTCCTTTGTCTGGCTTTACCAGGCAACACAGGAAGATTTTCTCTACACAGAGCGATGTCATTCTCACTTAGCAGCAACCTGGTGAAGGTTTCCTAGAACTCAGAGGGCCTGAAAAAGTCTTTTATCTCTGCTTGTCTGCTAATGATAGGAAATACAGAAACTAAATCTGAGCCTTTGCAATCTTGTAGTTTTAGTAATTTGTAAATTTAATAATTTAGTGCAGTGACTATGGCTCCACACAAAGCTGGTTCAGCTCTCTCCTCCTCTCCAGGCACAGTCAGATGCACAGGGCCACCCAAAAGGAAAGGTGTCATTCTTGTGAGGGCTTTCCACAATAAGGAAGACAATAAAGGCTATAAATCTGGTTGCTCTGTGAACTACTTTTCATTTCAAATCCTTTTTTTTTTTTTTCTTTTCGTGGGTCTGAAGTAATAGCTTATAGCATGCTTTAATGGTAGCTGTTAAAACAAGGTGAAGGGTTGCTTCCACGGTGAAAGGAAGCACCAAAGACCCCAAGGCATGCTGGAGTGTCCAGTGCTGAACAAAGACAATGACGTTTTAAAATCTGTGAACCTCTGGCCACGGTGCATCACTGACATTTGTAAGGGTAAGGTCACACATCTCGGGAAAACTGAGCGCCTACAGCCCCAGTCACCCTGATTCGCGGCTCCGCTGTAAAGGGGCTCTCTTCCCCCTCGATAGCAGAGGTGGAAATTTCCACGCCTATTTCTGCGACCCCCTGGAGCAAAGCTTGACTGAGGAACCTGAAGAAGGCAGTGTTTAGGGTCTGGCCAGATGGATGCAGCACAGGAAACAAAGCACGGCAGGAAGGTGGCAGAGTTGCTCCGATTAACCAGAGGGCTGCAGGCTTTCGCACTCTCTCAACACGGAAGAACATTTACTGAATGGGAAGAAAGGTTAACCTCGATTTCTTGCAGGGCTGCATGAAAAATCAGCCCTTGCCTCGAGAAAAAATGACACGGGGCAACACGACACCTTTTGCCGTAACTCTGTGGTGAGTCGGGCGGCTCGCAAAGCTCTCAGCGAGCCCAGGCGCTGGGCGAGACCCGGGGCGGCGGCTGTCACACACCGGAGTCCCGGCGGCACCGCCACCAGCACCGCCACCGCTGCTACTCCGGGGCCAGGCGGGCTCACTGCACCGGGGCACCCGAAGGGCCGCTCTCTCGGGCGTTGCCGGGGGTAGGAGCCGCAGGCCGGGAGTCTCTTCCGGACCGTTCCTTCTCGGGGAGAACGGGCTGGTGCCCGGCAGGCAGGGGCGGGGTGTCCCCCCCAGAGGCAAGGCCGGCTCTCCCCGGCGCGGAGGCGGCGCTGCCGGGGCCGGGCCGTGACCGCGTCCCGCCCCCGGCGGGGCGGTGGCAGCGGCGGCGGCGGTACGTGCGCGGGGCGGCGCGGCGGCAGTGCCGGCGCGGAGCCGCGGGGAGCCCCGAGCCCGTCGCGACGGCGGCGACGCGCAGCGCGGCCGCGCCCATGGCGAGCAGCGGCGGCGGCGGCAGGTAGGGTCGGGCGGGGCGGGGGCCCGCTCCCCCGGCCATGGCTCAGACGGAGCCCCCGAAGGCGGTGCGGCTGTGGCGCGACGCCGCCCTGCGCGCACGGAAGCTGCGGGGCGGCCCCGGCGAGCCCGAGCCCGAGCCCGAGCCGGACGCGGGGCCGCCGGGGGGGCCGCCGCCGCCCCCCGGTGCCGCCGCTCCTCGCCTCCCGTCCCTGGCGGCGGCGGCGCTGGGGGAGCTGGAGGCGCTGAACCTGAGCGGGCGGGGGCTGGAGGAGCTGCCCGAGGAGGTGGGTGCCGCCCTGAGCGGGCTGCGGGTGCTCAGCCTGCGGCGCAACCGGCTGGCCCGCCTGCCTGCCGCCGCCCTGCGCCACCTGGGCCGCCTGGCCGAGCTCGACCTCAGCCACAACCGGCTGCGGGGCCTGGGGGACGGCGGGGCGCTGGCGGGGCTGCGGGGCCTGCGCAAGCTCAGCCTCAGCCACAACGAACTGGGCGCCGAGGGCCCGGGGCTACCCCCCCGCCTCGCCGAGCTGGGCTGCCTCGAGGAGCTCGACCTCAGCTTCAACCGCCTGCGCCGCCTGCCCGAGGGCCTGGGCCGCCTGCGGCACCTCCGCACTCTCGACGTCGACCACAACCTGCTGCCCTCCTTCCCTGCCCCGCTGCTGGAGCTGGCCGCCCTGGAGGAGCTCGACTGTTCCGGCAACCGCCACCTCGGGGCCCTGCCCGAGGGCATCGCTGCTCTCCGCCGCCTCAAGATCCTCTGGCTCAGCGGCACCGGGCTGGCGTCCCTTCCCGAGGGTCTCTGCCAGCTGAGTGCCCTCGAGAGCCTCATGCTGGACGGCAACCGGCTGCAGGCGCTGCCCGCTGGCTTCGGCAGACTACAGCGGCTCAAGATGCTGAACCTTTCATCCAACCTGCTGGGGGAGTTCCCCTCTGCCATCTTGGCACTGCCCAGTCTGGAGGAGCTCTACCTGAGCCGCAACCAGCTCACCGTGCTGCCCCCTCACCTCTGTCAGCTCCACCAGCTCCGCACTCTCTGGCTGGACAACAACCGCATCCGCTACCTGCCTGACTCCATCGTGCTCCTCCACAGCTTAGAGGAGCTGGTCCTGCAAGGCAACCAGATCGCCATCCTGCCTGAGGGCTTCGGGCAGCTTTCCCGTGTCACCCTGTGGAAGATCAAAGACAACCCCCTCATCCAGCCTCCCTATGAGGTGTGCATGAAAGGCATCCCCTACATTGCAGCTTACCAGCAGGAGCTGGCCCACTCCCAGCCTGCCCTCAAACCCCGCCTCAAACTAGTCCTCATGGGCCTAAAGGATGCAGGAAAGACCCTGCTGAGACGATGCCTCATGGAGGAAAATGAGAAGAGAGATGACATGGGAAGCCTGGAGGCAGGGAACACCCAGCACAGAGGGTTTCCTGGGCAACAGCAGGACATTGGGAGGGTGGCAGTTGGGTGTTGCCCCTTTTCAGAGCCTCAAGACAATTCCTCAACTCGGGTACCTGTCATGCAGCAGGTGGAACGTCTCCCTGCTGAGCGGCAGGACATCCCTTCTCGCGTGCCCTCTCACCGAGCAAAAGGGGACAAAACATCCCCTGCACCATCACTGCCACCCAATGTGCCCCGAGTACCACTGGGACTAGGACTATCAGGAGGCAGTAAGGGCATCGAGGTGATGGACTGGACAGCAGATGCAGAGAGGGGCCTGACATTCATTGTCTATGAGCTGGCAGGGGACCCCAGCTATGATGTGATCCAGTCTTTCTTCCTCTCCCCTGGAGCCTTGTATGTGCTGGTGGTGAATTTGAGTGCCTACGTCCCTCAGCACTTCTACCCCTCTGTGGGCTATTTCTTACACTGGCTCAGTTCCAAGGTGCCCCATGCCGTAGTGTGCATGGTGGGAACCCATGCCGACCTCTGTGCGGAGCGGGAGTTGGAAGAGAAGTGCCTGGACATCCATCACCAGATCGCTCAGCAGGAGAAGAGGGATGCTGAGGGACTCCAGAGCTTAGTCCAGCAGGTGGATGAGGCTCTGGGACAGGACTTTGACCTGCGCTGCTCCAGCCCGCATGCTGCCTTTTACGGGGTCTCAGACAAGAACTTGCGGCGGAAGAAAGCCCAGTTTCAGTATCTTCTCAACCACCGCCCACAGATCCTGTCTCCAGTGCTGCCTTTCAGCTGCCAGGACCGTTGCCAGGTGCGTCGCCTGCGGGACAAGCTCCTCTCGGTGGCCGAACACCGGGATATCTTCCCAAACCTGCACCGGGTGTTGCCCAAGTCCTGGCAAGTTCTGGAGGAGCTGCACTTCCAGCCTCAAGCTCAGCAGCTGTGGCTTAGCTGGTGGGACTCTGCCCGGCTGGGCTTGCAGGCAGGCCTGACGGAGGATCGGCTGCAGAGTGCCCTGTCCTACCTGCACGAGAGCGGAAAGCTGCTCTACTTTGAGGAGCATCTCACCTTGCGGGAGTACGTGTTCCACAACCTGCCGCGGCTCATAGACATCCTCAATGTCTTTTGCCAGCGGGATGCCACCGTGCTGCTCCAGAAACTGCTCAGCGACACCCAGATTGACGAACTGAGGACCACTCAGCTCCATCATTACGTGGAGGGCTTCTTGCTGCATGGCCTCCTTCCTGCCCACGTTATCCGTCTCCTTCTTAAGCCCCACATCCAGAGTCGGGAGGATCTGCAGCTCATTCTGGAGCTGCTGGAGAAGATGGGGCTATGTTACTGTGTCAACAAACCCAAATGCAAGCCCTTAAATGGGGCGGCTGCTTGGTACAAGTTTCCCTGCTACGTGAAAAACGAGGTGCCCCATGCAGAGGCATGGATCAACGGCACGAATCTGAGCGGACAGTCCTTTGTGGTTGAGCAGCTGCAGATTGAATATAGCTTTCCATTCATTTTCCCACCCGGCTTGTTTGCACGCTACAGTGTCCAGATTAACAGCCACGTGGTTCAGCGGTCAGATGGCAAATACCAGATTTATGCCTACCGGGGGAAGGTGCCTGTGGTGGTGAGCTACCGGCCTGCCAGGGGAGCTCTGCAGCCAGACACTCTGTCTATCGCTAGTCACGCGTCCCTACCAAATATCTGGACAGCTTGGCAAGCTATTACGCCTTTAGTGGAAGAACTGAATGTCCTGCTCCAGGAATGGCCGGGCCTGTACTACACTGTGCATGTCCTCTGTTCAAAGTGCCTTAAAAGAGGGTCACCCAACCCACACACTTTTCCAGGTAAGGCACAGCCCAGCTTGCCTTTCATCTCTTTTGGAGCTTTGCCCCTTCTAGAAAGGTGTCTTATGAGGTCAGCCGTAGCTCTATTTTTTTTTCTTTTTTTCTTTTTTCTTTTCTTCTCTGCTCTAACTCCTTTCCCTGGTGGTTTGAGTCATGAGAGAAAATATTAGGGTAGCTCCAAGGAGACAGGCTTAAAATAACCTTATTCTGAGAGGAGGGGGGTGTTACATCCCCCTTTGTCTGCGCCTTTTCTCTCTGCTTTTTGGGTTTTGGCCCTGAGGGTTGGCAGTGCCATTCTTGAGAAGTCTCTGAACTGTCCTCCTTGTTTTGATTTCTTTGAATGGGATTGTGCTGTTGGGGTTTTTTTCCCCTAGTTCCTTTTACCCTGCAGCTCCCACTTCTTTGGAGCTATTTGTAAACATGAATAGAGATGCCTAAAACATTGCAGGTATCCCCCATCCTCCCCTTCAACCCTCCACCCCCAAAACCTGGCCTATGCTGCAGTCTGTCTGAATGCAGGAAGGCTTCTCCTGGTAGACAATGGGTGTGTTGGTCTCCATAGCCCTGTGTAAAAAGAGCTTTCTCTGAGCTTTCTTTGAGCCCTGTCTCTAGTAGGAAGCATTCCTCACTGAAGAGAGAAGGATCCTCCATCTTCTTTGTTTAAGTGTCTCACCTAGAAGTGATTCCCAGACTGTGCCTTTTGGAGCTGTTCTCAAGCACGTTTTATTTTCCTTCCTCTCTCTCCCTTCCTCAAATGAAAAAAGCATAACCTTTCTCTGGAACGTGACTAGTTGTGGTGCTTTTTAAAGCTGTCACCTCTAAAGTTGTGATTTTTATCAGTGATGTTTTCCAGCAGCATCTGTTTTACTTTGTGTGTGCAGGTACTAACTAGTGTCCTCCCTGCTCTGCTTGGGTTTGCTCTGCGGCTTGCAGGGTGCCATGGGAAAGGTGCTTTGATGTGTAAATCTGCATGAAATCAAAATGCAGTCTGGACTGTGAGCAATGCTCCAGAAATCTGCATTGTAACAACCATGTTAGAGGTGTGTTGGCACATTATTAAGAGGTAGCCTGAAATTGTGCAGGGAACTGTAGCATGATTTGACTTAGAGCAAGCAGCGTTGCTGAATTTGTTCATAAGCAAATGTGATTAATAAGGTGTGGGATTTCTGGGGTTATTTTGGGCTTTGGTTTCTTGGTTTTTGTTGTTTTTTTTTTTTTTTTTCCTCTGGACATTTAGAATAAGGAGATGCAGTTTGCTCCTCAGGTGCAAAACCACCTAAGGAGGTGCAGTTTGCTCCTCAGCCTGACTCCTGGCTTCATCAGCTGTATCTCCCTCCAACTGCTCAGTACTTATGTAAGAGCCATTGGGCTGGGGGCTGAGCCCATGCTGTGAGACGTGCTGAGTGATATCTTGCTGCTGACATGGTGTATAAGGCAATGTGATCTGCTTTCCAAACAAAAAACTCTGGAAACTGAAAAAGACAAACCTGCTACAGAACCCCTGAAAAAAACCCCAAATACCCTCCCCAAAAACCTGCCAAAATTAGTCACAACAGCAGACACGTGAGTGTGCAGTGTGATGGGCACTTATTGAAGATTTAGCTTGTGAATTCCAGTCTCTAGTCAGGCATCTCTTTTTTTTTTTTTTTTTTTTTGTGGCTGTCTCTTTTCTCCCTGTGAGTAGATGATGCTTTAAAAGGGAAATTTGAGGAAGAGCCAGACTGTCTGCAGGCAGTTGTTGCTGACCCCAGAGATGGTCAGAGCAGGTTCAGAAGCATGAGAGGAGCATTGAATGGCCTTTTCCTTTGGACTTGGCTGTGCCATGTATGTTTCCTTAGAGGTGGAAAAGGATTTATCTCGCCTGGGAGCCAGGCCAGGTGTGCTGGGAAGGGAAGGCCCAGGTAAGCAGCGTGCTGAGCATGAGAGGAGCTGGGGCTTGTGTGCCAGGTCTCCAAATGACACCTGGGTGATGCTGCCTGTGGAAAGGGGGTTGCAGCATTTTGAGGCACTCCAGCAGGGAGTTCAGGCCTTGCTATCGGGGGCACAGGATAGCATCCCAGGTGTGACCCTGCTTTGGGGCAGGGAATGACTCTTTTAAACATGGATACCCTCTGACTCTAGCTGGGAGAACAGCAGACAGACATGTTTAAAAGGCAAGGCTGATCTGTGGAAATGCTGAAGAGTGATTAAATCAATTTATTGAGAAGCCTGCTTGTTGTCATGGATGATGCTTGAATCTAGCCCAGGTTTGATCTGGACTATATGAAAAATGTGAACTGTGATTTGACTTGGGAGGCCTGTATGTCTGCATTTAATCTAAAATATTCCTTGCTGTGTATCTGCTCTATGAATAAAAGACTGTTTAGGAGCCCCTAAATGGCAATCGTGAAGCTCAAGAATTTTTTTCCCTCCTGATTTTGTTGATCAGGAGGCGTGCATGTTTAAGCCATGCTGCCAAGCTTGCTGTCATGCAAGTGAATCATGGTTGGTGTCATTTTTGACAAGGTGTAGGAAAGAGAGGGGTCTATGTTACAAAAATATGTAGTGAAGGAGATGTCTGTGTTTCTTTCCAAGCTCTTTTAGCGGAAATCACTGACAATTACAATGCTCCTAATACTTAAATAGGTCTGTGGGCTTTTTAGGACTGCACTGAAGAAGTGCTTTGCAGCCAGTTGACCTTAATAAGGGAAATATTTCTGTGTAGACACTGCCAAATTTGTGCTCAAAAATGGAAGTGCAGTCTGGCTCTCTGTGTGGTTGTGCAATCTGTGTCATCATTCATGAAACTGATGGTGCATTCTTTGGTCATCCAAAATTTTTATTAGAATCCCTTTCAAAAAGGGAGTTCACAAGTTGAGGATTAACCTTTGCTTTTCCTCTCCTTCCCTTTCCTCTCTGTCCTGCACACTATAGCTTCCACTGATGATACACACAGAAATAAATACTCTAGGAATAGTGCTACTCTGCGTAGAAATGGTAAATAAAAATTAAGGTTCTGGATTCAGTTTTCTGAAGGTTTATTGCAAAGAGTGAATGAAAGTGATATAAAAATGCTTTGTTGGGGTCCTTTTATGGAAGTTTGTGTGTTTGAAACACTTTTGTAGCTAGACGAAATAGTAACTGAATTGGCATCTGAGCTGGAATTTCAGTATGCTTTGAGGCTGCAGTCATCCACTTGGCTGATAACAACTCAGTGTGTTAAATTGGTTTTTTTCTTTTACATTTGCATGATATATATAAATGAAAGTGTCCCTACAAGGCTAAGAAAGTCATATCTCTCTTTGAGTGACCAACAGGAATGGTTCACTTCTCCAAAACAGTAAGACCTCAGTTGGGTCATCACAGGCATTGTGGAATGCTCTCATTTGTATGTGATGTTTTTTTAGCCCCTGGACTGAAGAGCTTTTAGGTTATTCATGTCTTGTAAGCTATTAAGTGACTTGGGATTGGGGGGTGGAGGTGGTTTGCCATCTGTCTGATAGTGACACGTGTGCTTTGTTTGGACAAATGTGACTGGATTTTCCAAGCTTGCCTTCATATGCACCTGCTAACTGCCCTGCTGCTGTTTCCCCTTGTCCTGTGCTAGGCTGGGTCTGGGGCACCACATGCTCTTCCAGACTGGCTTTTGTACAAGGTGTCCTGATGTCCTGTGCATGATTCTTCTGGTGTTTGGGCTGGGAGGGATTATGTTTGACCAGTGCTTTTCCTTTATTCCTGCCTTGTGAAGGGGCTGTATGGGTGTAGAAAGAAGAAAGCCAGGGTCTGTGTCCTTTGCAGAAGACGGGCAAGTAAGATAAGGTGATGTGGGTTTTCACAGAGTAAAAACATGACAACAAATAGAAAGCCATGGGCAAAAGTACTGTGTGGGCCTAGCAGCCCCTGTCCAAAAGGATGCTTCAGAGCTATTGGGGAGCTTTGAAAGGCTCTGGAGGATTAGCAAGAGGTCTTTTGTGGAGGGAAAGTGCACATCTGCCACCTGCCTTGCTATCCCTTTCTTGAGGTATCAGAGCAGGGAGATCACAAGCCTCTACTCTGCCTGTCTCCCGCATTGTGGGTGAGCAGAAGCAGGGATTATAGTGCCAGTCACCTTAAGGGTTACAGATGGAGGTATCATAGTGTAGTTCCCCTGTGAGTCTCTCTGTCATGGCTAGAGCAGGGCTAACTAGGCCACCATATGCACATGATTCAAAGTGAACATGCTCCCCAGCCCTGAGTTGGAGTCAAAAGCTATCATGACCTCCCTTGGTGGCTGGGATGGAGTCAGGAGACAGAGAGGTGGAGGAACCTGTGGTGTGTCATGCTGTCGAGTCACCCCATGCAAGGTGAGGCAAGAGCAGGTGAGACTGGTTTTGTCAGAAGAGCTCTGAAGTTGCCTCAAAATCTGAGCTGCTGCTCGGTGAAAGGCTCATGTCAGGTATCTAATTCCACTTTGTAGTCATGCTTTAAGTAGCTGGGGTTCTTTTCATAGACAATTGCAATAGAGCAACACCTGCTTGTTAGAGAGCCTGATGCTAACATTAGGCAGCCTTCTATTTCCCCCATTTGCAGGTGGAGTCTTTTTTGCTTGACTTTCAAAGTAGATGCTCTGGCTGTTTTGGGGCTGTTGTCACATATCCTGCAGGCTGTGGGTTCAGCAGAGTACTCAGCAGAGCACTAATTGGAGACAGAGGGACAAGACTTCAGCACCATGTGATCTTTGGATGTGGATGATTGGATGGCAGGATGAAGCTGAACAGCGCCCTGTGGTTCAAGGGAAGAGCATAGATTGGTTACTGGACTTTGGGAAGCTACTGTCCTTCTGTGGCTCTAGCATGGATAATTAAGTTTACTGACTAGAGCTGATTTCTGTGCTGCTGAAGTGACAGCCTTGACTGGTGTGACTTGCTGTAGGTAACAGTTTAGGAACACAGTAGTAGCCTATGCACCATCACTGATTTTTAGAGATTTCCTTCATACTAACATATGTGTTGCAAGGTCAGTATTTGAAGTCCTCTTGTTTG